TCCTTCCTTCCTTCCTTCCTTCCTTCCTTCCTTCCTTCCTTCCTTCCTTCCTTCCTTCCTTCAACAAATAGCTCTGGGTTCCTCCTATGTGCTGGGCAGTATTCTAGGCTGGAGACACCAAGCCCCTGTGAAGTGACATTCTAGTATTGCTTGTACATAACTCAGGATGCTCAGACATGTCCAAAGGGACCCAGAGTCATCCCCAGGACCCCAGACACACCCATTTGTTTATTCATTCAACAAAGATTTATGGGCACAGTGGCTCATGCTTGTAATCTGAGCACTTCAGGAGGCTGAGGAGGAGGGAGGGTTGCTTGAGGCCAGGGGTTTGAAACCACCAGGAAGCATAGTGAGAACCCATCCCCACATTTTTTTTTTCTTTTTAATTAGCTTGGCTTGGTGGCACGCACATGTAGTCTCAGTTACTTGGGAGGCTGAGGCAGGAGGATTGCTTAAGCCCAGGAGTTCAAGGCTGCAGAGCTAGGATCACACCACTGCACTCTAGCCTGGACAACAGAGCAAGACCCCATCACTAAAAAACAACAACAACAACAACAACAAAAATGCCGAGCACTTTACTATGTGCTAGGTGTGGTTGTAGGTGCTGGGAACACAACAAATAAAAGCAAAAACAAAACAGGCAGAAATGTCCTGCCCTTGGAATTTACATTCTAATGGCAATCAAACACAACCAGTGTACTCAGACCTGCCAGAGTGGGGTTCAAACCCAATCTGGGGGCCCAAACACATCTTGGGAACATCAGATGTTCTACGTGGACGCTGAGACTCTTACAAAGTCCCAGATCATCCCAGGGACCCCAGAGTTATCCCAGGGGCCCCCAGGTCCCTTAGGGACTTCCAGAACCATTGAAAGACTCCTAGACCCAGCTCCACTGCCCTCACAGAACCCTGAGCTGGGAAGCCACTGGAACTCCCTGCTGCAGCCTTCGACACTCATCTAAGCATCTCTGCCTCTCTGGGGTCTGTGTCTCTGTCTCCCATCTCCCAGGATGGGTGAATTGATAGATGGAATGATAGGGGTTTGAAGGAGAGATGGATGGATGAATGAATGGGTGGGTAATGATGAAGGAAATGGAGGAAGAGATGGTGGCTCGACGGATGCAGGAGGCTCATTCATCTGTCCCTGTCTGTTTCCCACCTCTGCTGCAGATGCATGGACATCCTGGAGCTGTCGGAGCGCCTGGACCTGCAGCGCTTCCACTCGCACACCCTGCGCCTCTACCGCGCTGTGTGCGCCCTGGGCAACAATCGCGTGGCGCACGCTCTGTGCAGCCACGTGGACCAGGCTCAGCTGCTGCACGCCCTGGAGGACGCGCACCTGCCAGGTCCACTGCGTGCAGGCTACTACGACCTCCTCATCAGCATCCACCTCGAAAGTGCCTGCCGCAGCCGCCGCTCCATGCTCTCTGAATACATCGTGCCCCTCACGCCTGAGACCCGCGCCATCACGCTCTTCCCTCCTGGAAGGAGCACAGAAAATGGTCACCCCCGGCACGGCCTGCCGGGAGTTGGAGTCAGCACTTCGCTGCGGCCCCCGCATCATTTTTCGGCCCCCTGTTTCGTGGCCGCTCTGCCAGCTGCTGGGGCAGCAGAGGCTCCGGCCCGCCTCAGCCCCGCCATCCCGTTGGAGGCCCTACGGGACAAGGCACTGAGGATGCTGGGGGAGGCGGTGCGCGACGGTGGGCAGCATGCTCGCGACCCCGTCGGGGGCTCCGTGGAGTTCCAGTTTGTGCCTGTGCTCAAGCTCGTGTCCACCCTGCTGGTAATGGCTTCCTCCTGCTTCCCTCTGTCCCGTTCTTCTTCCACTTTCCCAAAACTCCAGAAATACATGCATCAATCCTGCTCTATTTATGCATCCAACCACCCATTCCTTCCCTCCTCTATGCATCCATCCACCTTTCTTTTTATTATTATTATTATTTATTTCGAGATAGAGTCCCACTCTGTTGCCCAAGCTGGAGTGCAGTGGCACAATCTCAGCTCACTGTAACCCCCGCCTCCTGGGTTCAAGTAATTCTCCTGCCTCAGCCCCCAGACTAGCTGGGACTACAGGCATGTGCCACCACGCCCGGCTAATATTTGTATATTTAGTAGAGACTGCTTTCACCATGTTGGCCAGGCTGGTCTCGAACTCCTGACCTCGTGATTCGCCCACCTTGGCCTCCCAAAGTGCTGGGATTACAGGCCTGAGCCACCGTGCTCGGCCTCCATCCACCTTTCTATGTATCCTTCCACCATCTCCCTATCCTTCATTCACCTTTCCCTCCATCTGCTCACCTGTTATCTATTTATGTTTATTCATCTCTTCCTTCTTCCTATTCATCTATCCAACCAACCATCATTCATCCATGCATCAATCCATCGGTACTCCACTCGCCTTTCCATCCACCCATTCATCCTATCCATTCATGTGTATAGATCATCTTTCCATCAACAAGTCCATCTGCCTTTCTATCCTTTTCTTCTCCACCACTCCATTCATTCATTCATGTACCCATCTATCCAAGTTTCAATCTATTTGCCCATCCATCTTTTCATTCATTCATACAGCAGTCCATCCACCATTCCATCTGTTCGTCTATCCACCTACTCATTTATGTATTAATCTGTCTTTCCTTCCATAGGTCCAATAATAATCTCCTCCCACCTATGCGTCCATCCATACCTACATCCGCAGATCCATCCGTTCCTCCGTTTCCCACCTACCCTTCATCTATCCCTCCATCTCTCCATTCATATGTATGTACACCCATTCACCTACCCACAAATCCATTTAGACATCCACACCAATCCATCTAACCATTCCCTATCCTTCTGTCCATCCCTTGTATCATGTGCCCTTTTATTCATATACCCATCTAACTATTCATTTATATATCCATCTTTTTGGTTTTGTTCGTTTGTTTTGAGACAAAGTCTTGCTCTGTCACCCAGGCTGAAGAGTGCAGTGGCACAATCTCAGCTCACTGCAACCTCTACTTCTCGTGTTCAAGCAATTCTCCTGCCTCAGCCTCCCAAGTAGCTGGGATTACAGGCGCCCGTCACCATGCCCGGCTAATTTTTGTATTTTTAATAGAGGTGGGGTTTCACCATGTTGGCCAGGCTGGTCTTGAACTCCTGACCTCATGATCCACCCACCTCATCCCCCTAAAGTGCTGTAACTATAGGCGTGAGCCACTGTGCCCAGGTGTTTGTTTTTGAGACAGAGTCTCGCTCTGTCACCCAGGCTGGAGTGCAATGGCACAATAATGGCTCACCGTAACCTCAACCTCCTGGGCTTAAGCAATCCTTCTACCTCAGCCTCCTGAATACCTGGGACTACAGGTGTGCACCACCATGCCCAGCTAATTTTTAAATTTTTTGTAGAGGTGGAGTCTCACTATGTTGCCCAAGCTGGTCTTGAACTCCTGGGCTCAAGCGATTCTCCCACTTTGGCCTCCCAGTGTTGGGATTACAGGCATAAGACACTCTGCTCAACCTAATTTTGTTTTTATTTATTATTTTTAATTTTATTTTATTTAGTGAGAGACAGGGTCATGCCCAGGCTAGAATGCAGTGACATGATTGTAGCCCACTGCAGTCTCAAACTCCTGGGTTCAAGTGATCATCTTGCCTCAGCCTCCCGAAGTACTGTGATTACAGGTGTGAGCCGCCACACCTGGCCCCAACTTTTCATACACGAGCCTATCCAGCCATGTGGCCAACCATCCCCCCTACCCTCATGGCTATTCACTAATTTATCTATTTATCCACATATTTATTTACTTCCTCATGCATCTATCAACCCATCCATCACCTACCCACCTACCCATACATCCTTTATCCTTCTCTCATCCATCCACCCGTCATCTCTTCCTCCACCATTTCCTTCATCTCTCCATCATCATCCACTTATTCATCTTTCCTTCAGACCTCTACCATTCCAACTCTCGATTCATCCAGCCATCCATCCAGTCCTCCCTCCATTCATCCATCTGCCTCTCTCCCCCTCACTCTTCTTCCCTTTCGTCTGCTCCTCTTTACTTCTGTATGTTAACATCTTTTAAACTTTATTATTATTATTTTTTTTTTGGAGACAAACTCTCCCTCTGCCATGCAGGTTGGAGTGCAGTGGCATAATCTCAGCTCAGTGCAACCTCTGCCTCCCAGGTTCAAGCGATTCTCCTGCCTCAGCCTCCTGACTAGCTGGGAATACAGGCATGCACCACTACAACCAGCTAATTTTTTTTTGTATTTTTGTAGAGACAGGGTTTCACCATGTTGGCCAGGCTGGTCTCAAACTCCTGGCCTCAAGTGATCTGCCTGCCTTGGCCTCCCAAAGTGCTGGGATTACAGGTGTGAGCCTCGCCTCATGTGTTAGCATCTTCATTGTGTTGACTGAGAGCTGGTGTATGCTGGGAGCTATGCAGGCGTAGGGTGTGTCCTGGGCCAGAGGACACAGCACATGCTTAGGCTTGAGAGAAAGGACACTCACCTGTGATGGGAGAGGCCCTCGTATTTGGCTCTGTGGTCTGGGCTGTGTGGATGGGACACAGGCTGAGGAGCTGGGTGGATCTTAAGGAGGGGGAATGGCAAGGTTGGGGGATGCCATTCCTGCTGTGGGAGGAATCCGATCCGCCAATGAAGGAATGATTGGCATGTGCAAGAGGGGCGGGTCTGGAGAGCGAGGCCAGGGCCTGATGACGGAGGCCTCGCAGGCCACAGTGAAGAACCGAGACTTTGTCCTGTAGGTGATGGGCATCTTTGGCGATGAGGATGTGAAACAGATCTTGAAGATGATTGAGCCTGAAGTCTTCACTGAGGAAGAAGAGGAGGAGGAGGAGGAGGAAGAAGAGGAGGAAGAGGAAGATGAGGAGGAGAAGGAGGAGGATGAGGAGGAAACAGCACAGGAAAAGGAAGATGAAGAAAAAGAGGAAGAGGAGGCAGCAGAAGGGGAGAAGGAAGAAGGCTTGGAGGAGGGGCTGCTCCAGATGAAGTTGCCAGAGTCTGTGAAGTTACAGGTGGGCTGCTGCTTCCTGCTTTTTAGCCTCTGTCCATCTGGGCTGGGAGACACAGGGTAGGTGGGGTGTGAGTCTGGACTTTGTCCTCAGGCAGTGGGGAGCTGTGGAAATGCATATGGCAGTGAGCAACGCTGACGTGGAAAGATCTCTGTTTTCCATGGAGATGAGAACATGGAGAAGGCAGTCTTTTTTTGTTTGTTTTTTGAGACAGAATTTTGCTCTGTCGCCCAGGCTGGAATACAGTGGTGCAGTCTTGGCTCACTGTAACCTCCACCTCCCGGGTTCAAGCAATTCTCCTTCCTCAGCCTCCTGAGTAGCTGGGATCACAGGCACACGCCACCACGCCCAGCAAATTTTTGTATTTTTAGTAGAAACGGGGTTTCACCCTGTTGGCCAGGCTGGTCTTGATTTCCCGACCTCAGGTGATCCACCCACCTCGGCCTCCCAAAGTGCTGGGATTACAGGCGTGAGCTGCCATGGCCGGTGAAGGCAGGCTTAAGGTTCCAGGCAGGAAATGATGTTGGCTGGACCTGTGCAGGGCCATGGAGAGGGGAGAGGAAGAAAGAGAAGTTTCAAGGAAGTCCTGATGGTCTCACCTCCATTTCTCCTCCTGCATGCCTGTCCTTCCACAGATGTGCCACCTGCTGGAATATTTCTGTGACCAAGAGTTGCAGCACCGTGTGGAGTCCCTGGCAGCCTTTGCGGAGCGCTATGTGGACAAGCTCCAGGCCAACCAGCGGAGCCGCTATGGCCTCCTCATGAAAGCCTTCAGCATGACCGCAGCGGAGACTGCAAGACGTACCCGCGAGTTCCGCTCCCCGCCCCAGGAGCAGGTCATCTGACCCCTGACACTGGCCACTCTTACTATCTAAACCCCAACCCCAACATCTCCCAACTCTGATCACTGAGGACCCTCAACCTCTATACCCGTGCTTGACCCCTGACCCTAGTGATACATTTATCTCCTACTCTGTGAACCAACCTGACCTCTGAGTCGCCTCAGACTGACCCTGACTCCTTTCAAACCTCTGGCCCTAGTCTCTCAAATAGTCTTCATTAACTCACACTTTGACTCATGACCTTAGACACGAACTTACAATTGCATCTTCTCTCTCTGATCTCAGAGTTCCTGCTTTGGGATCTCAGACCCTCATTCTAACCTTTGACCTTCCCCTAGATCAATATGCTATTGCAATTCAAAGATGGTACAGATGAGGAAGACTGTCCTCTCCCTGAAGAGATACGACAGGATTTGCTTGACTTTCATCAAGACCTGCTGGCACACTGTGGTAAGGAGTGGGGATCAGAGAGTCCTCCCTGCACCAACTTTCTCTTGAGACCTCTCCAGAAGTTTCCCTAAGATTTCCGGACCTTAACCCTCTACAGTATTGGTGCTATGTAACTATTGGTTGAATGAATGAATGAATGAATGAATGAATGAATGAATGAACGAATGAATGTGTTAGTGAACAGTTAGATGATATGTGGAAGGATATGTTTATATGGGTATTTGGATGGATGGCTATAAGCAGATAAATGAATGGGAATGTGAATTGATGGATAGAAGAAGTGGGTAAAAATTGGCTGGCTGGATAGATGGATGGATGAGGAGAAGGATGGATGGATGGCTGAGAACTGGGTGGAGAGATGGCTGGCTGGGTGGAAGGATAGATGGATAACCTCCAGGGTTTCTGATGAGAAGTCTCCTAACAGACTTATTGAGATTCCCTTACCCATGATGAATTACTTTTCCTTGGCTGACTTTTAAGGTTTTCTCTTTGTCTTTGCCTTTGCCTTTCAACAATTTAGTATGAGATGTCTAGGTGTACAGCTCTTTGAATTTATCCTATTGGAAGTTTGTTGAGTTTCTTGGATATATAATTACTTTTTATCAAAGTTGGAATATTTTTGACAATTACTTATTCAAATACTTTTCTGCCCCTTT